CAATTCCCTTCTTGTTCTTCCTAGTAGTTCTTTCCTGCTGTCATCAACTTCATGTGGAAGCACCTACAATACATATTTCCATCCCGCCAAATAAACGTGTAAGAAAAGAATTTAGGAAGCATAGATCACTTGTTTAAGTATCGTTAGCGTTACTTGAGGTTTGTTTTAGTTGCAACAAACCAAGATACGAGTTTTCGTAGAAAAAGAGACTCTCTACATCAAAATACCAAGTAAGAAACACCATTAATGATGACCAAGAAACTGTTACATACCGAAGGCTGGCGCAAATATTTGAGTAGGGATTCATTATCTCTGATCAATGGCGTTGCAATGGGCTGCGTCGCGGTTGGTGTTGGCATGCACATGCAAATGCGCGAGGTTTTGAAGATAAATTGCCTTTTTAGCCACAAACCAGTTGCCTTTGGAGCTCCACGAGGGACATCAAGAACTGCCCAAGATTTTGATAGGGAGGAAAAGTTGCTTGTACAAGCCATTTTTGCCCTCTTGAAGAGAAAATGACTCGTCTATTTGCTACCCAAGTTTAACGGGATATATAGATAGGAGGATGCGGTGCACTATATAATAAACAATTAGAGCGCATGCCTCACGGGGGAAACATAAATCATTGAATTCTACAAAAGAAAAAAAGAGTTAATAATGCTGTGGAAACTGGACTGGTCAAGGAGGTCTCAAATTGGAGACTCAATCAATTGTCAATAATGCGGAGGACGCTGGACAAGCGAATTGAATGAGGATTCAATTTGGAGAATCAATCAATGGCCTATGGTCCGGACAGAAGAATGTCACATATTGGTCTGAAACGAATTCAACAGTCTAACGTCAAAAAACTAAGCTATATTACACGAGGAATAGTCAAATTCAACATCTAATTTACTTTTCTAAATCATTCCAAGAGAATGTCAACTTCAGTTTCTTGAATAAAGTTTAGAGGCATAAAACATTTCTTCTCCTTTATTACGTTTATACAAAAAAAAAAATTTATATATATATATATATAGTGGCTTGACATGTTCCCAGTATTTTCTCAAATTTTAACTGGCTTTGGAAAAAGAAAAAAGGGCACTTTCAAGTGGTGTTTGGGCATGCAAGGGGGATGCTTGAATTGTGAACAAGACCTCCAACCTCTAGAAGAAGTGTTCTCACCAAAACCTGCGTTCTATTTTCAAGAAACTCATTTTGTTTGGTAAGCAGGGATGCTGCAAATCAGGCTAACAAGCAAAAGATTCTGGATTTTTTGACTAGTGATATCTGTATCATCAAAGAAAGAACCTTAGCTACACCTGGCCTTGTTGACCCTCTAGAATGAAGTGATTGTATCGTGCACGTAGAATGCTCATAATTTTTTAACAAGTAGAGTTAATTGTCATTTGTACCCCGAAACTGTTTGCAATAAGTACTTTACTCCTTAAACTATCAATTGTGGCAATATGGTAAATCAAGCTTTTTAGTTTATCGTAAAAATAGTTCAAAAACCTTAATTAGACTCGAAATTAGTTACCCTTTCTAAATTAAAAGGGGAAACAGTTCCTTAATTAGATGAATTGCAACCAATGGCTCTTTTCAATAGCAGCTGAATTGCTGATTTTTTAGTATTATTTAATTTTGATCTCTTAGACGAAGAAAAGGTATTACATTCACAGATACAAAAAACTTAAAAAGAATTTCTTGTCAAGTCGATATTCTAAAAGGGTAAATTATGCAATTCAAAAGTTTAATTGCTCTTATTCTCTTTTTACTACTAAAATCACTGCCAAATTCGATCTATATCCCAAACTTTTTATGCGTTCAAGGTATTATAGTGTTCAAAATCGATAATTTAGTGGAAAAGATTCTAAAAGGAATAGTCTAGGGGTGCAATGTGCAATTAGCACTAAAAACTGCAAACATTAAGTGACTCATGGATCAGATCCAACTAAGTATTTGTCATATCAACGATTTTTCTTTTCCTCAGAACTCGAATTATTTCAAACTAAAAGCATTCAGCATATATGAAAGGCGCACAACCAGAAGTGAATACAATCATTTTTTTATAAATACATTGTATAGATACGTACTTAACGGCATAATCGTTTGAAGTCTCTTAACATCTTAAGTGCTTCAAATTTCGTATCTTAAGCTTGCCAATTCTCCAAAAAATTTTGTATGTTATGTTTCTAATCATTCATAGAAAGAGCTGACCAAAAAAAAAAAAAAAAAAAAAAAAAATCATACTAAGTTGAGCCTTTTTTTTTTTTTTTTTAAAGGAACTAAGTTGAGCTTTGGATACAAATTGCAAGTTGAGGAGTATGCCTAATAATTCAACATTGGTATACTCATCAGGGCATTCAGAAGGTGGATGAGAGGCACTTTGATGAACTCTTATTTTGATGAAAAGACTCGAATCCTGATATCAAGTAGTCGTCATTAATACATGTACGAAATGGTACTATTAACTTGGAAATAGTCAGCAACTGGATTCAATGTTTGCTTGCAATTTGCAAATTGCAGCATACTAGACCTTTGATGGAGATGCCCATTTTGAATATTTCATCAGTAAGGTCAAACTTCAAGAATGTGAATCAAATAGTACGAAGTTTCTTGCGCCGTCTCCGCTTCATGCACTGGCGGCTACCGACGACATGTTGACGGAAATAACCGGATAATGGTGTCGCAGCCTAGTTGACTTTGTTATTGTTTGGGTCAATTGTCGTATGAACCCTTGAACTATTAGTCGTTTGCACTTCGTTCCCTAAAGTATCCATCTTGATCAGGAATAATTTCAGAAACTTCTCCTTAAGTTTTTGATAATATCATTTAGAACCTCTGAACTTTTATAAAACTGTCGCTGCTCTTGTCACCCCAATGTCAATATTACCAGTTATCGATCCACATTTCTATCCTTTGTGCTTTAGGCTTATGTTGAAAAATATTTACTCGCCAAACAAATTGACATGTTTGCTTTCCTTTTCTCCCCCTAATTTCAAAAAAATTTTGCTTTATCTAAAATATTTTTGGTTATTGCCTTGCAATTAGAGCCACAATTTCATTCTCTAATGTTGAAAGAATATGGGTGAATTGTATGTTTTACCTCTTAAACTTGAAGAGGCCATACTTGTGCTCTCTAATTCATAATTTTGTACTTTCAAATTTGCTCCACATTATTTCAACTCTTTTCACGTCCAACACCCTTTATGTGTAGCTCAAGAATCATAAGTCACAATTGCTATTACAACAAAAATTAATCTACTTCATAATTGTTGGTGTTATATTTTGTTGCATTAAACTAACAAATCATACGTATTTTTCCTTGATTTTCTACCATTCATTAACACTAATGTGGGTCTTTAAAAATAAATTAACAAGCGAGAAAACACAAAAGGCAATTGTGGAATGAGATTATGCTCTCTACTTATGTGGATTTTTTTAAAATTTTGTATTATCTTCTAGAAGCTGAATATGTTACAAAAACAATGAATTAGAGGAGGTTAGATTAGTGAAATCAATGCCAACAATCTATAAGTTCACGTACCAACGAGGAGCTAAAATCGTTGTAAAGGTGAAAAATAGTGCATGGCCATGGTAATTATCCAAACAATGTATGGCTTCCTTAGAGATCTTATCAGTGACTAAAAAATACGAGTGAACTAACAAAACTACTCTAGAAGATGAAATCGACGCAGTTTGTATATATTCATCAAAGGTTGGAGTAACTTTTTCGTGATTCCAGTTATCTTCCAGAAAGTATGATGTCTTATCAAAAAAAAGCAAAAAAAAAAAAAAAATGCCCCGATAGTAAGTTATTTAAGTAAACACATTGACAATAAAATGCTCTTTAGTTGATAAAACGCTTCACCTATAACCGATAAATTATGAATTCGAGTCCAACTTTCTTGTGGCAGCTTTGCTAGATGCACTGGCTGCTACTGATTAATTCGTTGATGCCCTGTTTGGAACCGATCGACGTCACACAATTTGAGTTCTGCACAGGGTTTCACAAGTTTGCCCCTAGCGTATACAAGGAGTTTTAGATAGAAAGAAAACCCAAAAGTTAGGATTTGATGTAAATAAATCGGAGTTGAGTGTAAATAAGTTGGACACGACTGTAAATAAGATGAAGTTGGATGTAAATAATTTGTAGCATGATTTAGATTACTTTCAAATTGGACCACATGGAACTTGTGGTCTTGTTCCCCCCCATGTTTATAGCGGCCTCTAGAAGTTGACCTTCTATTCATTGTTCTTTGGCTTAATAGCAATGTGAACCCTGAAATTATTACCCGTTTTGGCTTTGCCTCCAAAGCTGTAAAATTTATGAGTTTAGTACCTTATACAGTCATAACTCACTTGGTGCCATATTGTTCAAAAAAGTCGATCTTTTTACCTATTCTAGAATTAAAAGACTTTAGCATCCTAACCAATATATGTTGAAATGCAATCGCTCAATTTTGAGTACTGAACTCTTGTAATCTAGAAATGTCAATCGAGGATGCTAAGTAAAATTGATAGAAGTTATCCTTTCTACATATAATCTTCGTGTTTTTCCAACAAATAATTTTAGACATGAAATTTAGGCCATTCTGAATAACTTGTAGTATTAATGAAAAATTTCATCCTATCACAAGTAATAAAATTAACATAAATTTATTTCCTAGAATTTCAATCTTTTTTTTTGTTTTTTTTTGAGCGATATTATAAGGTTATATACAGAAATGGCTTGCTATTTTACTTGCAGCCTTCGTGATTAATCTTCCATAATTTATCATGTAGAACTTTTGAGCTAAAGGACAAGTATGAGGTGTCTTGTACTTAGTTACCCCTTAGATCATCATGATCACACGGCCTTATTTGTATTTTCATTTTTTCTCAAAAATTTTTTTATATTTTTCGTGAACACATAATTTTTAATTATCTTTTTATTTCACATATATTAAATTGTTACAGTACATTTGCTTACAAATATTTCAGAAAATAGCAATCCAAAGGGGCAAAGTTTTTCATCTTTAGGACGAGGCAAGTAAACTTTTCCATTCCGTGGTAGTATTTTGTGCTGTCTCCAACAACTGGATGGGTTCTAGGATCACTGAAAAGATGCGGTTTCTCGCTATAACGCCTGGAGAACTATGAGCATCTCCATACTGGTACTGGCAGAGAGCAATCCGAGCAAGGTCAACAGCAATTTCAGTGAAGTTTTCTTCAAAAGGTGATGGAGATATCAATTCTTTGTTCATCTTCATCCAGCATTCCTCAATCATTTGGCTTATGTGCTGTCCAGTAAGTTCCTCAGACTGGCCAGTTTCATGCATGTAACACGTGAGTGCATTTGTAACTTCACCTCTCTCTAGCTCAGTCTGCAGACATATCAAGATTGTGTTTTCTAGTGTTGTTGCACTTAATGTATAAGAACCCGAGACAACTGCAATATTTGTGTCCTAATTCCTATGTTCATCAATGTAGTTGCATTTTTAACACAATTGATCCAATAGAATAAATGGAAATGCTATAGAACTCATTCGAGTAAATGCCTTAGTTGCGTACCGATAAGGTACTAAAATCATTGTAAAGGCGCAAAATTGTGCATGGCCATTGCAAGATGCCATGATGATTATCCAAGCAATGTATGGCTTCCTTTGAGATCTTCTCAGTGACTAAGAAGTACGAGTGAACTAACAGAACAGCTCCAGAAGATGAAATCCATGCGTTTTGGATGTATTCGTCGAAGGTTGGAGTGACTTTTTCATGATTCCATTTAGCTTCCTGTAAGAATGATTTGCATAGATCTGCCCACTGAAAAGCAGAACAGAGATTAATTACATTATATGACTAATCAAGCTTTAAATCATACACATTCATAGTGCAACAGGAGAGAATGAATCAAGTTAATAAAATGAACTAGGCTAAACAAACATATTGTTATCTTCGTTAACTTGTCTAACTCAACTTGCACTTGGCTCGGTAAGTAAAAATTTTACCATTATATATTAGTTACTCGAGTGTTATTGAGCTTGAGAATGATGATCAAGTTGGAGTACAATCTTCATGTTTTCAATAAATTAAACAGACTTTTATTATCGTTCTTTGCTCAATTCAGATCAGTTACATACACAATAGAGTGAATTAAAGCTGAATCTTTACTTACTGCTTTGGTGAGGTGAGGGATGACCACCTCTCCTTGTTCCCGAAGAGTGTCGTAAGCCAACTCATTGACAGTGTTGTAAACAGCAAGGAAGAATAACTTCAAGTAGTCAGGAAGATCTTTTACAGCATCAAGATCCCATCTGAAACAGCAACATCGGGATTAGAAGAATAAGTATTACATCCAATTCACAGATAGGGAGAAAAGCAATCACAGAGAAAACAAACCTCACAACAGCTTCTGTGAGTTGCTCGAGTTCATGTAGAGAACCGTAAACATCATAAATATCATCAAGGACAGTGATGAGTGCAAGTGCTTTGGTTAGGCCTCTTCGACATTTACTATATTGAGGTTCAAACGCCATTCCAACTGTCCAAAAGAAACTTTCCATCAGCCTGTCTCTGGCAAAGCTCAATTTATCTGCCAAGCCTACAGCTTTCCACCACCTAAGAAATGTGACATCAATCAATTATATAGCAAATCCCAAATACTATGAAAAGACATATTTAGACTTCAAAGTTGGATCATTCTGATAAATCAGTTCCATTTTGATTATGTCTTTCTTCATCTTACCTCAACACGTCTTGGAGATCTCCTTGCAGCACAGACTGAACCATGTTGAAATCAAGCTTGGTGATAGGGATATAATTATGCATTTTATTTGTGGTTATTTGGTCTTAATTTTGGCAGTTTAGTATACAAAGTATTGGATTTCTGCTCATAATTAGTATTTGTGTTAATTACAGGCAATTAGTGTTGAAAGTGACGAAAGGGAGACAAAATCCAGAAGACTCTTGCCTCTAAGGCGTGGCCACGCCTTAGAAGGTGGACGAAACCGAAAGACGGACCATGGTCCACGTGAACCCGAAGCACTGGATTGGAACCTTGAAACAAAAGTTGTGGGCCTCCTAACCCTTTGAAGACGACTGGCGGCTACAAAAGGCGAAAAAGACCAAAAGAAAAGGGGATTGACGTTTTGTGATTTGGGGAGATTAGCTCTAGTTTTCTTATTTTTGTTCCCTAGCCGTCAGACGTCGGGAGACCTTTTCGTTTTCGCACTTGGTCTTGGATTTTTCTTCTCTCGGCTTTTGCTTTATCATTGTGAGTGGCTTAGCGGCCGCATTGTTTTTCACTTCGTCTTGGGTTCAGCAAAAACTTCATGAGAACTATGAATTGCTTCGTCGTTATGTGGCAAGGCTGAATCTTTTATCTAGTTGAGGAATAAATCAAGGATTGGAGCACCATAACTGTGAGATCGTTTTAATTATTTTATTTTTGATTTATATGTTCATGGGTATTTGATTATTCTCTATTTTTCCCTGAGTTATTACTGTTTAGATTTATTGGATAATTAGGCCTGTTATTCGATTGTCTAAATAATTGATAGCCAATTAGGATGTTGGCGCGTCGCCTTTAAGTATCTTGATTAGTGGCAAACGAGACAATTTCACCGCCTCGCAAGCGGTTTAATTTGGATCGTGGGGATAATTAATCTAGCCTAAATAAACCCGCATGTGTGTTTGTCATCTAGAATTGGGTCTTTCTAATTCCTAATGCTGTGGCTACATTAAATCCTGTGAGCATTCCTGGGGTTGTCTAATCACAAGAGGGTAGTTTATGAGCGTCTCTTGACTACCATAAAATTAAGGAAAGATTGGTGGTTGGGTGCGTCGCTTGACCACTATAACCAGTTTATTCGTGAGTATATGAATTGTCCCTTGTATCTGTGATCAGTTGTGTGCTTCGGTGCCAAGATTAATTCCTTGACTAGGTTGTTTTAATTAATTGTTATTTGTGTAGTTTGGTTCCTGCTATCTTAATCAACTTTAAATTTCAGTTTTTATTCATTTTTAATTAGTTGGTACTACTGCTAAAAATCCCCCCCCATTTTCCTGTGTGATTTGCCTACCTGTTCCCTGAGGAGACGACCCTACTCACCACTATACTCATTCAGTTTTGGTAGTAGGTCTAATATAAATTTTATTTTTGGTGGTTTGACACCCACCAAATTTTGGCCCCGTTGCCGGGGAACTGGTGTATTAAGTGACTTATTGCACAGGCTTTAGTTTTTATTTCTATTTTTATTTTTATTTATTTTATGCCTCGATCTTCTCGTACAGGAGAATTAGAATTTGATCCAGAGATTGAGAAGACTGCAAGAAGGTTGACCAAGGAGGCAAAGTTGCGTAAGCAACAAGATTCAACGTCACCTTCAGAATCTAAGCAAGAGTTTGTTTCCAGTGATTCATCAAGTGAATCTGAAAAAGAAGAAGTGCATATTCCCCGAGTAGCAATGGCAGCCCCAAGAACTTTGAGGGAGTTGGCAACTCCTAACGTGAACCAGCAGCCATTATGCATTACATTTCCTAACACGGAAGAGGCATTGGAGCTTAAATCTGGTCTTATTCACTTACTTCCTACTTTTCGTGGTATTGCAGGTGAAGACCCACATAAACACTTGAAGGAATTTCATGTGGTGTGCTCCACAATGAAACCTCAAGGAGTCACTGAGGACCACATCAAGTTGAGAGCCTTCCCTTTCTCTTTGGCGGATAAGGCTAAAGATTGGTTATTTTACCTGCCATCTGGATCCATCACTACGTGGGAAGAATTGAAGAGAAGATTCCTCGAGAAATTTTTCCCTGCCTCTAGAGCCGCCAATATAAGGAAAGAAATATGTGGAGTTAGGCAGGCAAATGGGGAAGTTCTATATGAGTACTGGGAGCGCTTTAAACAACTGTGTGCCAGCTGCCCGCATCATCAAATCCCTGATCAGCTCTTAATACAATATTTCTACGAGGGATTATCACCCATGGATAGGAGCATGTTAGATGCAGCCAGTGGCGGTGCTCTGGTTAACAAGACCACAGACGAAGCCACGTTATTGATCTCCACTATGGCTGAAAATTCCCAACAATTTGGAGTGAGAGCTGAGGGAACAATAAGAAGGGTCAATGAAGTGAATCACTCTGACTTAGAGGATAAACTATCTGAGCTTACCTCTCTGGTACGTCAAATGGCAAGGGGGCAATTACAATCTGTGAAGACTTGTGGTATCTGTGCTACTCCGGGACACATGACTGACATGTGTCCAACTCTCCAGGAGGATTCACCTGAACAAGCCAACATAGTGGGAGATTTTTCTGGACCACCTCCACGAAGGAATGATCCTTTTGCACCCACTTACAATCCAGGGTGGCGAAATCATCCTAACTTTAGCTATGCTTCAAAACCCCCTGGCTTTCAACAACATTTCCAACCACGACCACCAGTGCAACAACCATCCACTTCCAATTCAAACATGTCTCTTGAAGATACAGTGAAGTCACTGGCCCAAAGCACGAGTCAATTACAGCAAGAGGCTCAAAGATCTCAACAGGAGTCTCACAGATTTCAACAAGAGACTCGTGCTAGCATTAGGAATTTGGAAGTACAGATGTCTCAATTGGCAACTTCCATGAGCAACCTGGAAAATAGCAATAGAGGAAAGTTACCATCTCAAGTAATTCCTAATCCCAAGGAGAATGCCAGTGCAATGCAATTACGGAGTGGCAAGGAGGTACAGTCTCCTAGGCGTGCCCACGCCAAAGAAGAAGAAGTGCCCAGAAAGGGGGAAGAGGAAGATGAGAAACAATCCTCTGAAGTCTCAAAGAAAGTTGACATTCCTCCTTTTCCTGGCAGGTTTACAAGAGCCAAAAAGGAAGAATCTGAGCAAGAGATTTTGGACACCTTCAGGAAAGTGGAGATCAATATTCCTTTATTGGATGCTATTAGGCAATTGCCCAAATATGCTAAATTTTTGAAGGGCTTATGCACTAACCGCAATAAGTTGAGTCTGGATGACAAGGTGAAGGTGGGGGAGAATGTCTCAGCGATGTTTCAAAGGAAGTTGCCCCAGAAATGCAAGGATCCAGGTATGTTTACTATACCATGCATAATTGGCAATCAAAGAATTGAAAAAAGCATGCTTGACTTAGGTGCTTCAATAAATGTCATGCCTCTCTCAATTTTTAAAGTTTTGAATTTAGGACCCCTCAAAGAAACTAGGGTAATCATTCAACTAGCTGACAGGTCGAATGTCTACCCTGAGGGCCTAGTTGAAGATGTTCTAGTAAAGGTCAATGAATTCATTTTTCCTGTGGATTTTTACATTGTTGATATGAATGATGCATACTCTACTGATTCAGCAGTGATTCTTTTGGGTAGACCCTTCATGAGTACAGCAAGGACTAAAATAGATGTACATGAAGGGACTTTATCTGTGGAATTTGATGGAGAGAAGGTCACTTTTAATATTTTTGATGCAATGAAGCATCCTGAGGATACTGAGTCTGTAAATTTTGTTGGCATGACTAACACTATTGTGCAAGAGAATTTTGAACAGAATTTCATGGGGGACAAGTTGGACTTTGTCTTGCAACAAGGCAAGACCAATTTGGAAGTGGACGACATGGAGGAGGAGGAAGTCAAAGAAGCTATCATGTCCTTACATTCACTACATCCGCTTCCAGGCAGGTTTGAAAATTCTTTTCTACCATTACCCACTTCTAATGAAAGGATTCTACCTTCTGTTCAACAGGCACCTAATGTGGAATTGAAGGAACTGCCCCAGCATTTGAAATATGCTTACTTGGGAGATAACAAGACTTTGCCTGTAATCATTGCCAATGATTTAACTGCGTTGCAAGAAGAGAGGCTTCTACGAGTCTTATGGGAATTTAAACCAGCAATTGGATGGACGTTAGCAGACATCAAAGGCATCAATCCATCCATTTGCATGCATCACATCCTTTTGGAGTCGGACGTAAAACCCGTGAGAGAGTATCAACGCAAGCTCAATCCTGCAATGAAGGAGGTGGTGATGAAGGAGATTCTCAAGCTCTTAGAATTAGGAATTATTTTTCCTATTTCTGACAGCCAGTGGGTGAGTCCAGTCCATGTTGTTCCCAAGAAAACTGGAATCACGTTGGTGAAAAATGAAAAGAATGAGTTAGTGCCAATGAGATTGCAAAATGGGTGGAGAATGTGCATTGACTTTAGGAAGTTAAATGCCGCAACTCGGAAAGACCATTTTCCACTCCCATTTATTGATGAAATGCTTGAGAGGTTGGCAGGTAAGTGTTTCTTTTGCTTTTTAGATGGTTACTCTGGATATTATCAAATTATTGTTGCTCAAGAGGACCAACATAAAACCACTTTTACCTGCCCTTTTAGAACTTTTGCATATCGCCGTATGCCTTTTGGTTTGTGTAATGCTCCTGGAACATTTCAAAGATGCATGATGAGTATTTTCTCTGATATGATTGATAATTGCATTGAAATTTTCATGGATGATTTTACAGTATACGGTGATTCTTTTGATCAGTGCCTAGACCATTTAACAAAGGTTTTGAAAAGATGCATTGAAACAAACTTGGTTCTTAATTATGAAAAATGTCATTTCATGGTTAAGGAAGGCATAGTTTTGGGCCATGTTGTTTCATCAAGGGGTATTGAGGTAGATAAGGCTAAAATTGATTTGATCACTAGTCTACCTTACCCTACTAATGTCAAGGATATTCGTAGTTTTCTAGGCCATGCAGGTTTTTACAGGCGTTTCATAAAAGATTTTTCAAAA